TAGAAAAGAAAAAAAAAACACATACACACAAGAAAATACACAAAAAAACTTTCAAAGTGGATAAAATGTAGCACCCTTTATAACTTATGCTTGTGAAATTTAAAAAAGATGATAGATTTTTGTCATTAGTCTGTACAAAATGATGGATAATAATAATGCTCAGGSATTGTGGCTTAGTGGTAGAGCGCTCGCCTAACACGTGTGAGGCTCTGGGTTTGGACCTTAGCACCACATAAAAATAAATAAAATAAAGATATGTGTCCAACTATAACTAAACAATAAATATTTAAAAAATAATGCTCAGAAATTAACATTAGTTCACAGAAGAAGAAATAAAATGGCAAGACATTCAGTATGTTTCAGTGTATTTTATTGGTGTATTTGGATAAGAGGAATTTTTTAATTGATTTTTTCCCCCCTTCTCATTTATTGTATTTGCTTAAGGACTTTAGTTGATGAAACTTAGAAAAGATCTTTATCATCTTTATCATCTCCATTTCAATCTTTGGGCTAGGAAGAATTAATCTCTCTCTCTCTTTGCAGGGGGAAAAAATTAGGAAAATAATACTGCTTGTATCATATACTTTTTGATTTGAAAAACAGGTTTTTTTTTGTGTGTGTGATTTAGATTTGTTCTCTTGTCTATTACAAGATCATCCTTGAAAGATCTGTTTTGGTTTTTTAGTCATTTAAAAACACTGAGGGGCTGGGATTGTAGCTCAGTGGTAGAGCGCTTGCCTTGCAAGCATGAGGTACTGAGTTCAAACCTTAGCACCACATAAAAAAGTAAACAAAAATAAAGATATTRTGTGCATTTACAACTAAAAAAATAAAATACTGAGCCTGGACAGCGTCTTATGTCTGTAATCCTAGTTACTCAGGAGGCTGAGGCAGGAGGATTACAAATTCAAGGCCAGCCTGTACAACGCAGGATACCCTGTCTCCAAAAAAAANAAGGATTTTAAACAACTGTTTGACTCTAAGTATACTCATTTCTTTTTGAGTGAGTGAGTGTGTGTGTGTGTGTGTGTGTGTGTGTGTGTTGTCGAGGATTGAACACATGCTAGGCAAGTACTCTACCTCTGGGCTCAATCCTTGCGCCTAAAATCCTTTTTTTAAAAAAATATTTATTTTTAGTTGGACACAATACCTTTTATTTATTTATTTTCATGTGGTGCTGAGGCTGGAACCCAGGGCCTCACACATGCTAGGCAAGTGCTCTACTGCTGAGCCACAACCCCAGTCCCCTAAAATTCTTTTTTATTGGATCACCATGTTAATGAGTTTTACAGATTAAAAGGGACCTTAGGTATCTGTGGTTTTAAATCTCATGGTGAGCCATTGGCAGTGTTTTCAGATACTGAGTAATATGCTTTATTGTTTTTGTCTAGAAAGCAAAACAAAGAACCCTGAGTACATAGTGATCATCCCCTCTTACTCTGTTAAGGAGGATGGTTTTTTATATATTCGTATAGATTTTTACTTCTTAGATAACATTTAAAATATGCACAAATATCACATATTAGTGTCACTTTTTAGCACTTATTTAATCTTTTCTCCTGACAGTGATCCATGGTTAAAATATCATGTGGAATTTCTCAGTGAATGGAATAACTTTATTTTTTCCCCTTTGTCCTTACTATAGTATGAAAGAGCCCTAAAAGGAGTCACTTCACTGTCTAGCAGTTATCTCTTATTTGTAGCTTGCTTGGCTGATCTTGGTAACATGCTGATGGTAGGGATAAGCCCTTCTAGCATAGAATGCAGAGAATTATACAGTACATGATCTCTTGATCTTAATGGGAAGCAGAGGATAGGACTTTGCTGGTTTAGACTCCAGTGGCTCTACAGAATTTAGTACAGTACTGGTGGCCAGGTCATTTTCTCCATTAAGCCCCGTAACTCTAGGGCATTTGATCTTCTTAAGGGACCATTTGGAGTGTTTTATGTGTTCTATTGGTGGGTGGTGTGTTTAGTTATGTTTGTATGCCTGTCTGTACACATACCTGTATTTCAGAATTTAAAAGAGAACTGCAGAATTATAATTAGTAAGTATTCAATTAAATTTCTAATGTAATATTCATAAACTACATGTAAATTCAACTCTTACACAGTGTAGTCAATGTGAGATGTGTGTGTCTTTTAATATTTTGAATAAAATGTAGTGTGGACACTTAAACAATTAGAGTGCCTGTGTCCATGAAGACAGCCTGCTACTTGGTGCAGACATTGGAGGTTAGAAGATACTTGATTTTAGGTGTCTGACCTTTGAGTTTTGGTTTAACTTTGCTAGCTTTCCAAAACTCTGCTTTAGAGCAGTTAATGTTTTTCTCTTTCAAACTATAACAAATAGGGCTGGGCTTGTGSCTCAGTGGTAGCACAGTTGTCTGGCATGTGTGAGGCACTGGGTTCGATCCTCACCGCCACATAAAAATAAATAGATAAAATAAAGGTATTAAAAAAAAACTAAAATAATAAAACCTTATAATYTACTTTAGTTAAAGCTATTTCTTTTGCTTTTTAAAATTCTGCACTATTATACATGATGACAATAACACTGACTCTCCTTAAAGACTTATGAATTTGTTCACATGAAGGAAATTTTATATATTCTCTGAAGTTTTATGCTTTTATTATTGCGACATTGATTTTATTGCTCTACAAACAGTAAAAGGAATTAAGTTTACCTAGGTATTTTCTGTCATTTTTTTCAGGATACCTTTTTCTACTCCTTGGTCTATGACCCCTCAGTGAAAACACTATTAGCTGACAAAGGTGAAATCAGAGTGGGTCCTAGATACCAAGCAGACATTCCAGAAATGCTCTTAGAAGGTACGTTTTCTTTTGGGTTTCAAGTCCTATGAAAACCTGTGTTTTGAAATTCAAGTATTCTCATCCTCATGTGCAAGAAGCAAATTTAAGAGTAGAGTTATGAGCCCTTCCAGCCCTAGAAGCATAACATATAGCAATGGGAAATGATTTCTCTCATCAGTTATTCATTTGTGACTTCAGAGATTTTGAGTTTTACAGCTATATCTATCTGTAAGTATAGCTTTAAGATCGTTAGTGGTTTTGAACTTGTGTTTTAATGTGGTATGCTTATTCCTTGAGATTGTTGAATCCCTTTGAAGTCATTTAGCCCAGGCTAGATAGAGTCTAGCAAACAGCTACATTTTGGTGTGTGTTTTTTTTTAAAGCTGATCTGGGTACTTTATGTACCAGAAGAATTCAAAGCTTTTCATTTTTAAAAACAGATCATCCCTAGCAAGAGTTAGTTTTCTTTCTCCTGTCACAACTGTACACTAAGATCTATTTTCTAAAATAAAGTAAAATATTTTTACTTTYAAAAAACGAAATGCCACAGGCATAGTGGCACATGCCTGCAATCCCAGCTACTTGGRAGCTGAGGCAGGAGGTTTTTAAGTTTGAGGCCAGCCTGGGCAATTTACCTAGACCCTGCCTTAAAATAAAAATTAAAGCTGGGGGTGGTGGCACATGCCTGTAATCGCAGTGACCCACAAGGCTTCAAAGTTCAAAGCTAGCCTCAGCAACTTAGCGATGCCCTAAGCAATTTAGTGAGAATCTTCTCTCAAAATAAAAACTGAAATGGGCTGGGGATGTGACTCAATGATAGAGAACCTTAGGTTCTATCCCCAGTATCACCACCCAAATACCTCCTGGCCAAAAAAAAAAAATCAGGACTGTGTAATGTAGACAATGAATGCCGCCTCTTCTCTTTCATTCTACATGCATACTGTAACTGTTCAGGGCATTTCTTTTGTTCATACCTGGGCTTGCAAGGTTCAGGAACACTTCTCATGCAGTGGTATACTGCATATGTTATTTTGTAACCACTTCTTTCTCAACAGTATATGACTGGCATTTTTACATAAATAGAGTGAATTCATTCTGTTTTGTGACATTATCATTCTTTTCTTTCCATGGATGTATAATTTCTSTTTTTTTAACTTTATTCTAATTTGTTATATATGACAGCAGAATGCATTTCAATTCATATTACATATATAGCCGTATATACATATTTTTCATATCTCTGGTTGTACAATGTAGAGTCACACCATTTGTGTCTTCATACATGTACGTGTACTCTTCATACATGTACTTAAAGTAATGATGTCCATCTCATTCCTKCCCCCACTCCCTCTCTCTTCCCCTCCCTCCACTTTGCCCTATCTGGAATTTATCCATTCCTCCCATGGTCCCCCCTCCATCCCCATTATGAATCAGCATCCTTTTATCAGAGAAATCATTTGGCCTTTGGTTTTTTAGGATTGGCTTACTTCACTTAGCATTATATTCTCCAACTTCATACATTTACCTGCAAATGCCATGATATTATTGTCTTTCAGTGCTGAGTAATATTCCATTGTGTATATATGCCATATTTTCTTTATCCATTCATCTACTGAAGGACATCTCAGTTGGCTCCACAGTTTAGCTACTGTGAATTGTGTTACTATAAACATTGATGTGGCAGTGTCCTTGTAGTATGCTGGTTTTAAGTCCTTTGGTTGTAGACTTAGGAGAGGGATAGCTGGATCAAATGGTGGTTTCATTCCCTTTCCAAGAAATCTTCATACTGCTTTCCATATTGGCTGCACCAGTTTGCAGCCCCACCAGCAATATATGAGTGTCTTTTTCCCCAGATGGATATATAATTTCCTCTTCCAGTCTCCTAATGATAGATTTTTAGGTATTGCCTTTTTTTTTTTGGCATTACAAAAGATGCTGACAGAAAATCTGCACATATATTATGTTTTTAAAGTCACAACTCCCTTGAAATGAAATGGTATATAAAATTTTTTGTTGTAATGCTGGGATTTGAACCTAGGACCTTGCAAATGCCAGGCAAGTGCTCTTCTGCTGATCTAATCCACTCACCCCTTTATTTACTTTTTAGATACTGAAAATCCTTTGCCCTGCATTTTTATGTATGAGGGACAGATTCTCCCACCAATACTGGTCATTAGGACTCTTGCCTGCCTTTGTTTTTACTTTTTCTTGTAGATAAATTCATATATCATTTTTTTTTAATTTGAGCATTTATTTTTAAAAATTATAATTATGGGCTAGGSTTGTGGCTCAGAGGTAGAGCGCTTGCTTATTAGCATGTGTGAGGCACTGGGTTTGATCCTCAGCACCACATAAAAAAGAAAAAAAGGTATTGCGTCAATGTACAACTAAAAAATAAATGTTTAAAAAAATTTTAATTATGCTTGCCATGGTTACTTTTAGCTCTTCTGTGAATTTCTTATGCATTTGTTTTTTTTGTTTCATTTTGTTTTTTTGTACTGGGGATTGAACTCAGGCACTTGACCACTGAGCCACATCCCCAGACTTATTTTGTATTTTATTTAGAGACAGGGTCTCACTGAGTTGGTTAGCACYTCACTTTTTTGCTGAGGCAGCTTCCTGAGCTGCTGGGATTACTAGCATGTGCTGTTATGCCTGGCTCCTTATGCATTTTAAAATCTGGTTTCTTATTTTTTATTATTTGTTGATAAGAACTTTTTTAAAAAATATTTTTTAAGTTGTAGATGGACACAATACCTTTRTTTTATTTGTTTATTTTTATGTGGTGCCAGGGATAGAACCCAGTGCCTCACGCATGATGGGCAAGCGCTCTATCACTGAGCCACAACCCCAGCCCTTGATAAGAACTTCTTGAATATTAAAGGTATTTATTCTTTGTCCATAAGTTTATTTCCACTTTTGTCATTTGATTTAAAAGAGTCTGTTAAGGATATTTTGGGTTCTTTTTTCGTTGTAGTTGGACACAATACCTTTATTTATTTATTTTTATGTGGGCCGAGGATCGAACCCAGCCTCTCACACATGCTAGGCGAGAGTGCTCTACCACTGAGCCACAACCCCAGCTCCTAAAGAATCTTTTAAAAATATTTTTTTTTAGTGTACGTGGACACAATACCTTTATTTTATTTTATGTGGTATTGAGGATTGAACGAACCCAGGGTTTCACACATGGGAGACGAGCGCTATACCGCTGAGCCACAACCCCTGATTTAAAAGAATTTTAATAGTGACYTTAAATTTGTTTAATAGAGAAGTGTAGAATTTACTGGGGCTGGGATTGTGACTCAGCGGTAGAGCATTTGCTTAGCACATGCGAGGCCCTGGTTTCTATTGTCAGCACCACATAAAAATAAATAAATAAAATAAAGATATTGTGTTCAACTACAACTAAAAAATAAATATTAAAATAAAAGAAGTGTAGAGTTTATCAGTCTTTCCTTGAAGGTCTTTGCGATTTGCACAAAAAGCCCTCTACTTTTGTTTGGCTTCCATCTGGTTATTAAAATGAATATGCTCTTCCATGGGTTCTTCTCTCTCTTTGCATGTTTTTACTTCTAGAAACCAAACTCAAAAGTTAAGTCAACAGATAAYGCACAAGAGTTAGATCATAGGATACATGGGTGTCCATGGTGGGTAAATGGGGTGGTTATGAAACATGTCAAGCCTCAGACTTCAAAATTCTTACAAATTCAAATACCTGGAGGGTAAGTCAGTAAAGCTGGGAGAGCAAAATGCCAAGTCTCTATTGACTGTTTTGGCAGTTTTTTTGAGTGGAWTGTTTGTAGTGAGTGAGTTTATTACAGGTTGAGACATTGTTTATAACCTTTTTTGTTTCAGTGCTAGGGTTTGAACCTCTGGCCTAGTTCATATAAGGCAAGGGCTTTACTACTGAATTTATAGCCCCATCCCTTTTTAAGTTTTATTATAAGACAAGGTCCTTTTTAAGTTGCACAAGCTGGCCTTGAACTGGGTAATCTTTCTATCTTAGCCTCCCAAGCATCTGGAATTACAGGTGTGAGCCACCACATTCAGTTGCTTGTGACCTCCATGTCTGTGCAAATCACCTTGTCTCACAGAAATCAGTTTTGGATGTTTAGAGTCCTTAGTGTTTGGTATTAGACTTACAACACTGTACTTAAGTAGTTAGTAAACATTATTTCACTAAAAATTTTGGTTTTTAATTTTATAACTAGTGCTACAGTGAGTATCCTCTTTTATAATGTGTACTGCATGCTCTATAGATATAACTGGAAAATGTGTTTCAAGATGTGAAATTGCTAAATCATTGGGCACGTGTGTTTTAAATTTTGTAGAAGAAGCCAAACTGTCTTCCAAGTTGTCATTTGTATGAGGGTATTTTCTTATTTTAATTAACTTAGAATTTATATGCAGTAAACCGCACCCTTTTTAGTGTACAATTCTGTGAGTTTTTGACAAATGTATGTTCTTCTAGTAAAACAGTTCTGCAAGTCCATCTGTGTACTCATTGTACAGGTCCCCCCGCTTGATTCTGCATTCCCAAGCAGCCTTCCATTATTCTTCCCTAAATKTGATCTCTCACTTCTCTCGGCTCTGTAGATCAGGTCATTCACATAATCTTTTATACTGTTTTTATTATTCGACTTTTATAAGTGTGGTCTTTCAGAGATGTTTATTCTGTGGTTCTCCTTTGAGCATCGTGTGTAAGCCTACACATATAGTAAAGTTACATATTTTTGCTTATTAGTGATATGAATAAGTGCTGAACCAAATACTGGTTGGAATGCTTCAAATAACAACGGGGAAAAAACCCAAAACCAAAAACAATAACAACAAAACAAAAACAAGATCATACAGTCTCGTAAGCTCTTATTTATTTGAAAAAACTTTTGAATATAGTATTGGCCCCCGAAAAGCATAAAGGGTGGGATGTAATTTGGAAAATATATATACTTAGCTGGGAATTTAAAAAAAATTATTTTAGGAAACGATAAAGTACAATATTCTTTCAGTTCTCA